AGTCTTTTTAAGTCAATAGGTATTTTTATTCAAAAATTATTTTATGTGATAGGCCATATTTATGCCATGGTATTGATTTGGTCCTCACTTCATGGAATTTGTTTGTCTTATGTTCCAGATTATGTGCTAGAGGGTAGTGAAGGAACCCCTTTTGCAGGTTGGTCAATTATGCCCTATGATGGCTTATGTTATGGGTTTTGTGTCATTGCTGTCACTGTGGCATCTTACCATATATATATTTTTTAAACTATTCTCTCAGCTAATTTTGTGTTTGCTTTTTCTTTTGGTAAGGTGGGTATTACTATGGAAAGATCAAGTTTCCTCCAGAGTATCCCTATAAACCTCCTGGAATCACGTATCTTCTCTCTTGCTGCTTGACCTTTTGAAGTAAATTATGATAACACCACTTACTGATTACATTCTATATTTTCTATCCTGCAGCATGATTACTCCCAATGGACGATTTATGACGCAGAAGAAAATCTGCTTATCTATGAGCGATTGTAAGTATTTGGGATAATGATTTTGAGGTCCAGTATTTACCGTGTAATAACTGCTTTCAAGCATAAATTGATCCCTCCCATATTGCAGTTCACCCAGAACTTTGGAATCCTATGTGGTCTGTATCAAGGTATGATTATTTAATCTGAATGTAGGTTCTTTATATGATATTGTATTTTTGAATCTTGTTTGTGACTAAGCAGACATTGCTCTAGAAAAAAAATAGTGCAAGATTGTATAGCTTCTTGTTTTGGAGGCCAAAAAAATAATAATAATAAAATAAGAGATTGTATTGCTTCTGTAGGCTATTCCACTGACTTTCTCTTTAACAAATGCAGCATCCTTACAGGACTTCTTTCTTTCATGGTGAGTTCATATTGGTATTGCAGTGTCTTATTTCCGATCAAGCTTGATTCTATTGACTCTGCATGAACTTGGTTGCATTCCAAATATGCCTTTAAAGCAAGGAGCCTTCTCCTTTGCAGATGGACAACAGTCCAACCACTGGCAGTGTGAACACAACTGTTCATGAGAAGCAACAATATGCGAAGGACTCTCTTGCTTTCAACTGTAAGAAGTAAGTTAATAGCTTTCTTTTCCTCGATTCTAATGCTCTTTAATGGCAGTTAAAGACAAGGAAAGAAAAATCAAAGGCACGCATGATTCCACACCAAGGTTCACAGCTATGGCTATTATATCTCTTATAGCTTATAAATTTATCTTGTGCCGACTGGTCCCTGCTGGAACATTACCTTTTGCTCTCTTAACCATATTTATTTTATAGTTTCAATACATGAAGATATATAATTTTCTATTCTTCCTTTTTCTTATAAGTAATAGAGGGAGTTTTACCTAAATTCAATAGAATCCTATGTCTTGCTTTTGCATTGCAGCCCTACATTCAGGAAATTGTTTCCAGAATATGTTGAGAAGCACAACAAGCAGCAGGCTTTGGAAAAGATGCAACCTGAGTCACGTCAAGAAGATTCCAAACCTCTGGTCAAAAAACTTGTTAATTCCTCAGGTGAAGATGATAAAAGAGTAGACACACCAGAGGGCAGAAGAAACAAAAAGCAGCCTCTCCCAACCTGGATGATGTTGTTGCTGGTTTCCGTCTTTGGCATGATAATGGCACTGCCTCTTCTTCAGCTTTGATACCTGGAGCACAAAATGGAAGAAATCTATAGGGGTCAGTGGTCATACGGATTATGTATAGGGATAATGCCATGGGGGATTAGTTTGATCTGTTGATTGGGTTGTCTCCTACATTAATGTAGGTAGCGTGTCCATTGGCCTTGAAACAATGTGACGTTGATATTGCGTTGGTTCGAGTTTGTTTGGCACTGTGATTTTGTACTATTTTTTGGAAAAATATAGTAAATTTTGTAATACTTTGAACTTTATCTTCCTTCTCTCCTCTTTTTTTTTTTTTTAGCATATTTAGTATAACGATTTTTTTTAGAATAACGATTAAAATTTAATAAATAATTAATAATAGATAATAGAAACTAAGTAGTAAATAATTGAAAGTAAATTT